TCTCTACTTTTTGGCAACTACTTGTTCTCTCTTATAAAACAAGCACCACATCTGCCAAGAAATATTGTGTAGTCTGTTGTTGATGGCTAGTTATTGATGGCAAAACTATGTGGATTGCAAGCGTGCACTAAAAGGCCAGCATTTGTGATTCCATTAAAATGGTGAACTTTTCTACCTCGCACTGTTTAATGTAGTAAACATGTTTAATGTTGAAAATTTACTGTGAGTCACACTTACAAAGACTTTAAGAGTGGAGGAGTTTCAGTGAAGATTATAGCTCTTTCTGTGCAGAGGTCAAGAACTCAGTAATACTGCAGTACAGGCCAAAACAAACTCTATATGATCTACTACTGGTTTCCTTTTAAGTTCCCCTTTCGCTCCGGGTTGACTTCCTTTTATTTCACTCCAACTTATATTAATCCCCGTTGTGGAAAAGTCTCCTTCCATTTCATTTCAAAAACATTTCTGTAATGAAAAAGTTATTTTTAGTGTTTTCATTTGGGGGAACTAGCAATTCAAATAGGAATCAATGCAACCAAATCCCCAGAGACTCCAGATTTAGTTCTAATTCGAATCCTATTTAAAAATATGTTTAAACATATCTATTGACTTTGAGACCATCCTGTAACCCTGACAGTAATATATTTAAACTTCAGTATAGTTAAATTGCTGTAGGGATACCTGGTTAGATTTCCTCTGTTAGCTATACCATAGTCAACTCTTTGTAGAAGTTCACGCCCTTTTCTGCCTCCCACTTGCTTCTAGCCTGGGATAATCAGCCTTGGAGCTCGGCGTTCTCAGTATTTAAAGTCCAGCTCGCTGAGCCTTTGCATTTGGCGCCTCTCCCCAGCAGCAGCAACTTTTACCTCTGAGCTCTATTTGCAGCATAGAAGGGGGAGGGAGAGGGAGTTTCCCTTGGAACTCAAACTCATACAAATTTCCAGCCAGTATGTGGCAGCTATAGGGGCGGGTGTATCATTACTATTATTGGAGTCCCATTGAAGTAACCGAGGCAAGTGACTAGCTTCAATTTGTGCAGGACTGAGCTCTCGATGTCTATCACCTCTGAACCATTGGTTGGATCTATAGTCCTACCTGCTTTGCTCCCCGTCTCCCTGGTCTGCAGACCAGGGAGACGGGGAGCAAAACGGCGGAACATGCGGGCAGCGGACAGCCCAGACGCACAAAAGCATCCGTGCCAGTGTAGACGCTCTCTTGTGTAAGAAAGCTCCGATGGCCATTTTAGCCATCGAGCTTTCTTGCTCAAGAAATTAACGTGGCTGTCTACACTGGCCCACTTGCGCAAGAGGGATTATCCCTGAGTGAGAGCGTCAGAGTATTTGTGGAAGAACCACTGATTTTGTACATTACAAAGTCAGGGTTCTTGTGCAAATCCTCGCGGCCAGTGTAGATCGGCAGCAAGATTTTGCACAAAAGCGGTTGCTTTTGCGCAAAATCATGCCAGTCTAGACACAGCCAAATAGTTTTTCAAAATAGCATGTCTACACTGCAGGGAAGTCTCAAAATTAGTCTGAGGCAGGCTTCCCTAATGTAGACGTGCTATCTTGATTTAGAGCCCCCAGAGGCACTGGGGAGGAATAACTTAAACTACTCCTAGTCAGGCAGTGGAGCATCTACACACGCCTTATTTTGAAACCGATGTTACTCCTTGTAGAATGAGGTTTACACATTTCGGAATAAGTTGTCCATTATTTCAAAATAATGGAATGGCTGTGTAGCTGCTCACATTGTTATTTTGAAATAACACTAGTTTTCTCTAAATAATGGTGCAGTGTAGATGCACCTTCAGGTAAGGCCTCTGGTGGATTTCCTGAGCCCTTATTACCCCTCAGCCTGGGCAAGCCTGCACTTACACAGCCAACCCCCCTTCTCCTCCCCCCCCCCCCCCCCAGGCGGTTCTTTTCCATCAGCTGAGGTCGCTCAGGAGCCCTGGGTGGCAAAGCTGGTTTCCACAGTGCTTAGGGACAGGGTGGGCCTCACGACTCCTGCTCTCCGTGTGAGGATGAAGCAGGGTACTGGTGACTAAAACGCAGTTTGTTAGGCCGGGGGCCACAGTCTGCTGCGGGGCTGCTCTTCTGCAGGCGCATTAACACCTCGCGTCAGGGCTAGAGCCGGGGCAGGGCTTTGGAGCCGAGTTGGCGCGGACTTTGACGCATCTTGAGGGTGGGAAGGGCGCTCGGCGGAGGAGGCCGAGGGGGGGTCCGGGGAAGCAATGGAAGCAGCCCCCGCTGGGGAAGAGGCTGTCTCAGGGAGACTCGGACTGAGCGTGCGCGGTGCCCTCACAGAAGAGCCGCCCCGCGGGCGCGTGCCTGCCGAAGAGGCGCCAACCCCACGGCGCGCCCCTGGGCGCGGGCAGGTTCTTGGCGCGCCGGCGGGGAGAGCGGCCGGTGCCTGCCTCGGTGGGCTCGCTGGGGAAGCGCGAGACGACGCTGGCGAGGGCAGCGGGGTAGATAGGGCCGCTCCCCGGCCGGGCTCTTCCCTTCCCCTGGCTCGCTTCAGCGTCACCTCACCCACGTGCAGCCCCGGGGAGAGCCCTGGGCCGGGGGCGCGATGGCTCTGGCGCAGCCCGGGAGCCAGGCGTCTGGAGCGGAGCTGGCAGCGCTTCTAGTTCCCGGGGGGCCTCTGGTGTGTTTGCTTCCCAGTTCTGAGGGCGCAGGGCCGGACTGCCCCCGTCCCTCATTGCACCCCTCGCTCCAGCTCCGGTCTCCCAGGGCGCTGAGTGCCGCCCCCTGGCCTCCCGCCTCCTCCCTGTCGCCGCCTCCTCTCCCCAGCCAGCCTGGAACAAGTGCCGAACGCCTCTGCCGCCGCCCAAGCCGCCTCTCTGGGAGCGGCGCGGGCCACCTCTTGCTCTGTTACCCCGGCGCACACGGGCCTCTGGGGGCGCTGTCTTGATGGCCGGTGTAGGGGCTTGCTCCAAGGCCCATGCAAGCCCGGGGCAGTCTGCCCGTGGACGCCCAAAGCCTTTGCCCCCCCCCGGTTCACGAGAGCTGAATTTGCCTCTGGACTTGCTGCAGGTTTGGCCAACGGAAACGCAGGACGGTGCTAAGTGGAGATGGTCCCGGATTGCCCGGGGAAGGCTCATTTGTAGGGCCCAAAGCTGGCCGCCCCCGACTGAGCGGAGAGCAGGAGCCAGCCACGTTTCGAGCGGCACTAACACGGCGAGCCCAGGGCTACCCTCAGCTTGTCCCTGACAGTGGTCCCCTTTCCTACGCGCTTTGGCGGTGCACTGTCACCAAAGCCCGCGCGGGGCACGGTGGCTGCTGCCGAGTGACAAGATGACAAAGTGCATTGCTTGATGAAAACGCAAAGCAGGGAGGGGGGAAGTGTGTGTGAGGGAGGCTCTTATAAATGAACTGTCAAGGGAAAGAAAGTTAAGGGGAAATCTCCTGCTGTAAATGCATCGGGCGGGCACTTCTAATAAAAATCAAGGCCCTGAAGGAATTAATTACAGCAGCATTACAGGAAGAATTCGTGGAATTGCAAAACGTAAGTGGCACAGACCAGCACGAACGGCTCTTGCAAATGGGGAAACTGCAGGAGAGTCTCACAATTTCTGAGCTGATATGCAGGACATTGTAGTAGCATAATAGCCGTTCAGACATTGTAATGAATAACAGTGTCCAGCGATACTGACAAATGATACTGCACATACTTTCAGATTGAAGTAATGTAACTTGGTTTTACATGGAAAAGCTTCCCAGCAAAAGCTGACTTTTCTAGCTCACTTCTACCTGCCTGGGCAAACCTGTTCACACCAACATGACTGACAATCACTTACCAAAGTCTCGTGAGGTCCACGCGTTTCCTTTCCACGGCTCCTTTTAGCTTAAACTAACCTATCTGCAGCCCTCAGCCAGGAATCTTGCGTTGCTTGTGAATTGCCAGTTCATTGATTGGCACCTACAGCGATCCTAAATCGGACTGGACAGGGCTAGGGACTCGAACCGTTGTTCAATAAGATTCTCTGCAGCAGATCGGAGAACCTGAATTTGCAGACTCCGGATTCAGAACGAACCTACGGGGCTTTCTCCGTGGAGGGTTGTGCAGCCCAAACAGGCTGTGCAGATGGAAACCAGCCTTGTCTCTATAGTGAGACAACCCTCGTGCGGCTAACTTACTGAGACGTCCCTTGGGGACAGAACTGCTTTTGGTATTGCAATTTCGCAGCGGTTTTCCCTCTCCTTGAAGCACATACCCGTTCGTTTTTATTGTTCAGTTATTTGTGATAAGTGTTGAGCATGATTCTGTCAGTATATCTGTAATCTCCATTTCTTTTGGTCACAGCTAATCTAAAAAACAAACAAACAAACAACAAAAACAACAACAACACTGACGGGTTTCCTTTAAAAACAAAGTACGCAACTGACAAACTGTTTTTGAGAATTTTGGTGTCTGGTGAGTTCATTGTTCTAAGATTATAGCGTTAAAAAAAACCCCACATAAAACCAAAAAAAAAAAAAAAGACTAGGATTTCAGTTAGGAGCTTAATTTATGGTTCAACCACTCCATTTTTTTCTTGTCAAGTCACTTTATGTAGTAACATTCATCATCGGTCATGATAAGTGTTTCAGTCCATTAACCACTGATCCTCTACAATCTTTATTAAAATTAATTCGCTTTCTTTTTTTATAAAAAATCTGCTTTTTGCTCAACAGATCTGTATATACTATTTCAGTTAATTTAACTGCAGTTATATTTTCTTCTTTAAGAACTTTCTTATGTAACTTTTCTCAGCCATTTGAAATTGACAAGTTAAATCACAACGAACGCCATGTCCTTTTCTCGCAAACATTTTTTTCTTTTGAAATTAATGGTATAAACACTGATAAAATCAGTGAAATAAAATACATTCATCTGGTACTGCTATATGTATTTCGAAAACACTTTTAAAAAAGAAAAATGAAAATATTGCTTTTTTAAGTATTACTTTAATTTAGTCAAGTCATTTTTAGTTCTAATTCTAGATATTTTCATAACAGTGACAATTTATACCAAATGACCTCACAGCTTGAATGCATGACATGGAATCAAATGAACTTGGGATCTACATTAAAGGGGTAAGGTGTTTTGTTATTTTGTAATCTTTTTGTGCATTAGTGTAGTTAACTTCACTTTATTTTTTATTTTATGAATGAAATAAGGATAATGGCATGAAAAATGCTAACCTGTCAAAAATGGGTCTTTATTTGTTTGTCATGTAACGGGTTTTTTTTTTTTAAATAACCCTTTTGAGCTATTAAAAGTTTTATTCTACTAGTAAGTTCACAGTTAATAAGAATTTTATGGTCTAGTTTTCTCAAGACTTTTTAGTCCAAGGTTAGTCAAAGGGGGAAGAGCAAGGAGTATTTTGTTAAATTGTCCTTTTTTTGTCTTTTGTCTTAACCCAATCTGTCACGAAGAATAGCAAATACATTACAGATTTTTGATCATTTTACTGTCTAAACAAACTGTCTTCATTGTAGTTTATCCCATTTAGGTGCCAGGTAAATGCAATATGAATGAGCAATTTCAATTTGTGTGAGCAAGATGTTTTTTAGTAATAGACTAGTAATACCTGAATTTAATTTGGGATAATATGAACATGAAAACCTGTCTAATTATAATATAGATGGTTCTAAGAAGCCATGTTATTCTATATATATATCCACCACCAATATGTGATAGGTAGCTCATGAATGGGTATGAAGACAAGGTAGATCTCTACTCCAAAGCATTAATAAAATAAGCTGGTGAATGAAGGATTGGAAACCATGGAAAAACCTCTGCAATTGAATGATGGGGCTTGTCAGTTCTGTTATTTTCCGCTAATAAAAGTTTTTAATTTTTTGGGGAAGATTCTGCCATCTAATTAGTTCAGTCCTCCTTGCTGTGAGGTGCTGTCTTCATGACTCTATAATAAGGAGGTTGACCCTGAATGAAATTCAGAAATGTGCTCTCTGTCACTTGTAACTTGAGGTTGTCCAACAGATCTTGTGTTGGATTCAGCCCTGGAGTTGGCGTTTAGAATGCTCACCAGTGGGCTGCTGGGCCTACCTCATAGCCAAAGGCAGTGCGGGCCGCTGGGGTGAGTGAAATACCACTGGGGGCTGTTGGAGAGCCACAGTGCAGGGGTGGCCTAAGCAAGAAAGCAGAAGGGGGAAAGAGACACAAAAATCTGGGATACAGCATTCTGGGGGGGAGCGGAGGGCTGATCATATCAATGCTGGGATGATGAGGCCCTGGTCTGCTCTCACCACTTCAGCCATCATCAGCCTTAGACTGACCCGCTCTAAACTGCAGGGTGTTAAGGGGTCTGCACACTCCTAGAACAGTATGAGAACCTGAACAAATACAAGAGCTCCAGGCTTAAATTAGTGCTGTTAGGTCCTGTGTCTCCTGCCCTCCATCCCTTCCTCCCTTTTCTCCAGTTCTAGCTCACTCTGCTCCTCATGCCAGCTCTTCTCCCCTTCCTTTTTGTTATCTTTTCCTCTACAGACCTCACACCTTCTATCCCTGCCTTTCCTGGCCCTTTCCATCTTCTCTGGCTTCCTTTCTCCATACCACTGTCACCCTCCCACTGCAGAGCATGGACTCTAGCTTGTTTGCTGCTTGTCCAATATGAGTTTCCTGCTCCTCTGCAAGAGGAAGCCCGCCTCAGAGGCACTGCAGATCAAAGACATTGTTAGTGTAGCAGGATGTAGTGCTTACAGAGCCAGGACTTCTGTCCCTCCCTTCCTGTAGTCAGGACACTAACTGTATTGAGATTCCAAAGATGTCTCCCCAGTCCTCTTGGAGGGTTATCAGTAAAATTTAACCACTCTTGATCTTCCAAAATGGGGCAGCATTTTTGGGCCTATGGAAGAGAATGTACTAAGAGGAAATGGAATGGCCCACATCAAAGGGCTCATCTGGACTGGGTACAGACATTTATTTTTTAAAATGTGTTTTATAGCACAGTATAACTAACCCGTTCTAAAACTCCAGTGTGGACAAGGCAAGTTGTATGTTAGCAAGTGCTACCTGGTCCAGCTGAAGGCTTGGGGAGAGCCTAGGTTTCAACTCAAGTAGCTAGCTTCTGCTAACCTATAACTTGCCTGGTCCAACCTAGAATTTAGTCACATGCCAGTTAACATGTTCTCAAGAATCTCCTTGAGGTACTAGTCCAGACAAAGCCAATGTTTGCTTGGCTCTGAAATGTACGATGCTCTATGCCGTTTTCTGAGTGTGTAAGGGAGATTCCCAAACTATATAGGAAACTAACTTGATCCAGTATTATTTGCAGGCTGGCTCCAGTATTTCAGAATAATATGAGATACTGCTGATCTGCTTCTAACCCTTATTTGTGAATGGTACTTGGAGTCTAGAGGCACTATATAGTAGTGTCGTAAACTATGCTTGTCAGAGCAAACCAGTTAAATGAGCATGAGTATGAAGCGCTACACCTGGAATCTGTCAGGAAGCTCCTTTATTGGAGAGAATGGGAACCCCTTTTCTTCCTCTTGAAGCCCAACTACTGTATACAATTCAAGCTAACCAGCTCTGTACCTGAAGCTATTTCCTACTTTTTCTTAACTGTTTGTAATTTACTCTTTAAACTGCACCCTTAAAAAAAACCCTTCATTGGAATATTAGACACTGTTTTGTCTCTTCTGAAGAAAATACCCTGCAAAAAGGAGAAACACATCAACCTTGACTGAGATCCAAGTTATTAAAACAAGGAAGAGGTTATTCTTTAGGGAACTCAGTGGGGGGAAAAAAGGGACACAATAGAAATATTAAAGGAGTACTGAACAAAATAAATGGTTTTACTTGTCCAAAAGTGCAGACTGTTAGTAATATAAAGTTTGTGACCTAGAAATCTTGAAAAGAAAAAAGGAGAAATCAAGATGACTGATCTATGGTAAAATGAAGCTGAAAATTTTGGTATAGGCCAAGATTGTAGAATCTGTGGAAAATCAGTGCTAGACATGGCCTCATCACTGGTAATATGAGCCAAAATAGTTATCTGTCTTCTCTGGCTGAGAGTTACAAAACACAGTACCTCCAAACTCTGTTGCCATGAACATAAGGTACTCTTCCTAAGATTTACATCTCTAAAATATATGAACTGTTCATAAGTGATTCCCAGGCGTTTACTATTTCAGATACTTTTCTCAATCTTGAAATTGTATTTTATGAATATTGGCATCTTTATGTTGAAACAGAAAACTTCATTTCTTTCCAAAGATGACAGTCCTTATATAGATATTCCCCTCTCCTCCCACACACACAGTTCATCATGACTCAGCTGAACTTTCTTTTATGCACTGTGTTAGAAAGAAGAGAGAAATATTATTGCAAGTTTTCAATAAATTGAGAAATCTAAAATTATGTTAGTGATTAGGGACTATAAACCGTATCATTTTACAAGAATGTAATTCAGTAGCCTGTTTGTTGGGTTTATATTAAATTTAAATTTAATGTACTTAAATAAAACCACTCCCATGTACTCTAGGCAAGTTGGCAATGACGCCTATAGTTAAGGTTGCTTGGGACTTCCCATAATACAACCTTACTTGGCCCTGCTTGTGCATATGCATTATGATATCTTCTTTGATTATGTGATGTTATTTTATCCATAGGACTCCTATCTTGTTCAGTGCACAGGATAGACAGGACGTGGATCTGGATTGTATAGTGAATGAGACTGTTGTAGAACATCCTTCCTCCCACCCTAATTTGTTACAAAGATTGGAAGGCTGGGAGTGAATGTAACAAAGGGTTGCAGGAGGAGAAAGGATGGTCTCAATCAAATATCACTCTAAACAGGATTCTGTCTTTTCTAACTATTCACTAATCGTGTGCGACTCATTTTCTGGTGCCCAAATTGAGACTGCTGGGGCCTGATTTATATTGGTGCTGAGAACTCAAAACTGCAATTAAAATCAACGAGCACTACTTTGAAAAAAGTGCTGTAAAGATGCTAAGTACCCTGAAAAATCAGGCCTTCCACACGTCTGAAGGTGGACTCTCAAAATTAGTGGAGACTTTTGATAATTTTGGCCTTAATATCTGACCCTTTTGTTTCACAACTGCAAAATAGGGAAAATAATACCACCTCCCAGGGGGTGATGTGAAGATATTTTCATTAGGGTCTATTTAATAATCAGTGCTTTGGAGATGAGAGCTTTGGAAAGCTCGTGAAGAAATTCATATTTCTTTATCCAGTGCAGGTTTTGGAGAATGTGAGACAAATAAGTATGGGTGTGTCTAGACTACATGGCTCCGTCAACGGAGCCATATAGATGAGTTTACTAGACATAGCAAAATGAAGCGGCAATTTAAATAATTGCCGTTTCATTTACATCAAAATGGCTGCCGCGCTGTGCCAATCAGCTGATTTCACGAGGCATAAAGGATCTGATGACAAAGGATTCTGGAGTCAGCTGATCCCCGTCTAGACTACTGCGCAGTGCCGACAATCAGCAGATCGGCACAGCGCGGCGGTCATTTTGATGTAAATGAAACAGTGATTATTTAAATTGCCACTTCATTTTGCTACGTCTAGTAAACTCATCTACATGGCTCCGTCGACGGAGCCATATAGTCTAGGCACACCCTATACAACCACACACGGCATAATGAGAATAAAAAGAAATATTGAATAGCTGCCTATTCAGCTGTCTGTTCTGGTCCCTGGCAGCCTCCAAAGTTCCATTCAAGAGGGCCCAAGACCAGGTGCTATGATCTGAATAAAGACTACAGAGCAGCAATCCCACCTGGTATTGCACAGACCTGTCAATACTGGGTAGGAGCCTAAACCCTGCTGTGGAGCCTGAAGTTGTGACTAACTAAATAGGCTATAAGTGAGAAGGCCTGTCACAAAACAGATAGCATGGCTCTGCTGTTTGCTATTTGGAAACTGAAGTGAGTGCGTACAGTGCCACTGTGGTCACGTATGTAAACCGGCAGAGTTTGGCTCTGTGTCTTTTTCTTTATTCTTGAGCTGTGTAAGTAGTGGGCTCCCATGCACATTAGCATGTATTGCCACTTGTTTGGACTTGCTGGAGAGCACACTAGAGAGGTCATTTGCAAAGAT